AGAAGAACATCAGTTATACGACTTCTTATAGCTTTGTAAGCCTGTAATCTAAATATTTCTTGACTAAAAAAAAGCTTTTAATTGTATGTTAGGCTGTTAATACAAGTAGTATGTCCTGGGTTTCACCTGGGTTTGTTTACAGGACCATAATAAATTATTGACAAACACTGCTAAATTTTATTTGACTAATCCAGAAAGTTTCACTTGATACACCTAAAATCTTGCTATTCTTGGTTAACCCCTTTTTCTCTGTCTCTATTTTTAGGAGAGACTTGACTCACTTGAGTCTTCGGCGTAGTCAGCTATATAGCCATGATATCTGTCTCGTAATATACAATTTTAACCATCAATATCGTTCAGCAATTTGTATTAATGAGAGTATTACGAATCGTTATACTACGTGTTGGAAATAATGCAAAGGAAAGTTTCTTAGTTTTGGAGGAAAACTCTTTGTCCTACATTGGTGGGATAAGGAATGTTTTACTTGGTTTAAATATGTGTGTTTATACTTTGGTATTTGAAGTGCTTCCCCTATTGTTGTGGGCTAGAAGGGGGCATCCCCATGCGCGTGCCGCCGCCTGGCCGGTTCGGTTTGTGGCACGTGCGCGGTATGGTGGGGCTTCTTTTTTGGGCCAAGTCGTAACTGACATTCAAGTTTTTATGAGATCGTTTAATTACGAAAGCTCGCAACAACGTTTGACTCGATTTTTAAACGTTTGTAACTGCCCCTGATTTTCCTCCCACGAATTATTTTGTGGCTTGATTTTCTCCATCAGTTATGCCTTCCTTCTTCTACAAAAAAACTGATTTTCGTGGCTTTCAAAACACACACAAACAATTTCCTTCCTCTCTCTATTTTTACTTCCAGTTTTCCTCTAAAATAATTCTGAGCATTTTGTGAGTTCCTAGTCTCTCTTTTTGAGTGCACATTAAGAGAGATCGCTGTGTTAATTCTTGGGGGGCAACGCCATTTCCAATTGCACCATAGTCGGGGCGAATTTTGCTTCTAAGACAATGTTATTAACACGTCACAGCGTTTTACCTACATCAATCAAATTCGGCCTACATTTCAAACCATATTTTTCTGATTTTATAGTATTTTATTTCTCACACTATGTACATAGTACATTTTTTTCCCCGGGATACACACTAGTGATTAATTAAACTACCACTACTAGAAATGAGCCATTTTCTGATGGAAAAAATCCATCGGAAAAATTATAAAAAACCATCGGTAACTTGTTTACCGATGGCTGCCATCGGTATTTGGCCATCGGATGAGAATACATCGGAAAAATCGAAATTACCGATGGAAAAGCCATCGGTAAATTTAATACCGATGGTTTTACCGATGGCTACAAACCACCAGTATCTTTTAAAATACCGATGGCAAAATCCATCGGTATTTTTTTTCCGATGGTCAAAAGCCATCGGTATTTATCGATTACCGATGGCATTTTGCCATCGGTAATTTTAAATTAAAAAAAAAAAAATGAAAACCCCTATCCTCTACCCTTGCCCCGACCTATTCCCCAACCCAAAACCACCACCACCATAAACCTCCTTCCACCCTAAATCACTTACTGCCACCACAGTGAAACAACTACCACCACCCACAACACATACCACCAACCACCGCAACCCACAAAAAAAAAAAAAAAAAAATCAACAACACAAAAAGAACAAAAAAAAAAATCAATACAAAAACAACAGAAAATTAATAAAAATCAAACATATACCCAAGAATAAGATTTCACCAAACAACCACGAAAATTAAAGGGAAAAAAAAAAATACACTCAAAATTACGGAGTACTACAGATCTAAAGCAAAATTGGTCAAATTTCACCTAATTAGCAAAAACCACAATAAATTATACACAAAAATTAACCCATAAAACCATTTCAACAATACAACCCACAAAATAAACTAAAATGAGCCAAAATCAAGTAAGTAAAGCAAAAATCAACACGAAATCAACCAAAACTAAACATACCTTTGATTTTCATGGTTCAGTTTCACCTACTTAGGTTTAAATGGTCATATTCGACCATAAAAACTCCAGATCTGGAATTTTTATGGTCGAATTTGGCCATAAAGACCGCAACAACGCCGAATTACTCACGAAATACCCGTGAACACTGTCGAATTACCCATGAACTATCAACTAAATTGAAAAAAAAAACAAAAGAGGGAGGAGAGAGAATAGGGCGACAGAAAGAAAGGAGAAAAAGAGTATAATGGAGGAGAGAGTATCATGGAGGAGAGATAGATGTAGATAGAGGGGGAGAGAGGGAGAGCAGTGTTATTAGAGGCGAAATTGAGGAGATAAGGAAAAGAACAAGGAAGGAGGTGCTAGGGTTTTAACACTGACCCTTTTTTTTTTTTTTTTTTTTTTTTTTTTTGTAAATATTTGCCGATGGCTATTTTGATTATTTTATAAAATATAAGATTTTACAGATGGAAAAAAGCCATCGGAAAAAAAATACCGATGTCTAGACCATCGATATTTCTAAAAATACCGATGGATTGATAAAACCATCGGTAATTTATAATTTTACCGATGGATTTTACCAGCCATTGGTATTTCCCATCGATAAATGGGCTTTTTCTTGTAGTATACGTACCTAGTACAATTTTTTGTGGATTGCTAAACATCGCCCGCAAATCTCCACATAAAGCCCACAAACTTATATTGAAGTTACAATATTGCCCTTGACCTTAAAAAAAAAACACAACCTCAATAAAAATCAAAGTACGGGGATGTCGAGGCTCGTGGCGGCAAGGTCGTGGCGGCAAGGTAGTGGTGTCTCGTGGCGGCAAGGTGGTGGTGGCGCCAGGTCCGGCAGCCACGTCCACCGGCCTGGCGTCTGGGCAGGACGCCCAGCCACGGTGAGTGGCGTTTGGGACAGGCGCCAGTCACTGTGGCTGGGTGTCCTGCCCAGACGCCAGGCCGGTGGACGTGGCTGCCGGACCTGGCGCCACCACCAGCCACGGGCCGTCCTGGCCAGGCGCCCCAGCTGCCTTAATTTTTTTTTTTTAATTTTTTTTTTTTTTTTTGGAAAATCAGAAAATTTTTCTAATTTTTTTTTTAATGTGTTTGATTTTTTTTTTTAATATTTATTAATTTTATGTGTTATTTTTAATAAGTCTAGTATATATATTTTTTATAAAATCAAATAAAAAACATAAATTTCCACATCCTAAATCAAAACATAAATTTAATAAACATAATTTTTTTTTTAAAAAAAAAGGCAAAAAAAATAATAATTAAAAAGTAAGGGCGGCGTCCAAACCAGACGCCAGTGCACTGGTGGTGGCGCCTGGCCTGGACGCCAGTGCACTGGTTGAGGCGCCTGGGCTAGACGCCAGTGCACTGGTTGTGGCGTCTGGCCTGGACGCCAGTGCACTGGTTGTGGCGCCTTGCCTGGACGTCCTTGCCATGGTTCCGGCGTCCAAACTAGGCGCCACCTCGTTTTCCGTCGAAGACGACGTATCTCCGGCGACCCTCGCCTCTCCGGCCTCCCTGGGCAACCCAATACGACTCCACATTTGTTAGATCGAGATTTGTTCACTTTGGGTACGATTTTAGAAATGGGCAAAATTGTCAAACCATGTCTAATTTGTGGGCTTTATGTGGAGATTTGCGGGCGATGTTTAACAAATCCCAATTTTTTTCCCCCAAGTTAGACAGCGAACCAAGGAGGTAAGGGGGAAGGTTCTTGCTGTACTTGTAACAATAAAAGAATGAAATTAAGAAATTGGATTATCTAGTGAGGGCTTCATTCAGGGGAAAAACAACGAAAATCTTAAATGTTTTGCAGTAATATAATCCATGTGCTATTTCTGAATTGATTACTTGCCAGCTTATTAGTTATTAGATTACAATTGGGTACCAAAACTTGAGTTACAAGCTGAAGACAGAAGACTCTCTTTGGACTTCTATTTCTGTCAATTAGAGGCTGTTAAACTACAAACTAGCTAGTGTTTCTCAAAAAAAATATAGCTAGTGTATGACAAAGTGTCAACCTTATATGAATTGAAATACATAGTAATATAATGTTAATGATAAATGATTAAATGTGTTTCTCTTTGTCATGTGTACTATCAAAATGGATGTCACGTTTGCGCGTTGTGTATAAATTAAAGGTAAGAGCGTACACAAGTGTGCACCTAGTCACTTACCACTCGTTATCCTCACTCATTCATACTCCAGCCGGAGGTAAGGTGGTATAAATTGGATCACCTAGCCGAAAGTGAATCATCTGAAGTTGACCCGACCCGTATCTGACCCGCACTCGATAGACCATGACCCGAATTTGACCCGAACCGACCCAACCCGAGTTAAAAGAATAATTTTGATCCGAGCAGACCCGACCCGAATAGACCCGACCCAAACTCCATCAGGTTATCCGAATTGACACCTCTATTCGTGACAGTCTTAATTCTAAGTTAACATTATTCTTTAGGTTAAAAAAAAATAAACTCTATTTTCTTTATAAAGTTAGTCCTGTACTCATCCACCAATTCGCTCTAGGATCGATCATACTATACGGAGTACATTGGTAACTTTAAGAAAATAATCGATTTTCAATGAGCATGCATGCATGCATGGGCATATAACCGCATATATGGCTTTGCTTCTTTGTTTAGCTAAATTAGCTGGTATATATCAGATTCTTCTATTTCCCAATGTTAACCCTAGTTAAGCCTAATTTGTGTAATAAATTGATGCATTTTGAGATGCATATTATAAGGTATTATATCAATATCACTAACAAAGTCAACTATACCCAAAAATAAACTACAAATACACTCAAAATGAAACCAAAACTTTATTAGTACACCATTAACCAAGCAATTTTGATGCACCAACTGTAAACGTACATCTCAAGATGTGAACCATCCTCTCCACCTTCCTTAATTAAGCCCTTACCCTCCTTATTAACTGGCTTTTTTAGGGTATAAATACCCTTTTAAGCATTAGTTAATAATCAACAAATACAACCTCCTGAAGAAAATTGTAATCCAGTAATTAAGATTAGTTAAATTAGCTAGTTAGTCCCATGGCATTTCTTTGTATTAATTATAGTATTAGAGCATTAATCGTAACGCTAATGCTATGGGTCCTTCCCTTGGTTGCCTATGCTGGTAACTTTAAGAAGAATTTCCATTCTACATGGGGTCATGACCGTGTTGGAATGTTTGATGATGGTAAGCTCCTCACCCTTACGCTTGACAAATATTCGGGTTCGGGGTTCGAGTCCAAGAGTCGATACCTATTTGGGAAGTTTGATATGAAGATCAAACTTGTTCCTCGCAACTCTGCTGGCACTGTCACAACTTTCTTTGTAAGCTTAAATTTCTTATCTTAGCGTTTCCCTTTCTTTAAATTATGTATGTATGTAGTTTATAACATGCATAGTTGAATAAAGCAAACTTATAGGTCATATTCTTATAATCATGGAAATATGGAATATACATGATCCCTAAATTTGGTTTAACCTTGAATTAGTCTAGAATAGTAGGACCAATAATATGATTAAAGTTCAGATTAACGGTATTAATTAATTAATGGTTCCTCTCTTTGTTCAAATTCACACAAGTACACAACTAATACCTGGCCTACTAAAAGTACTAATGTCATAATGTTCCTTGATTAGTACAAACTAATTGTGGATTATGATTGTTGTACATGCAGTTAGCATCAAATGGAGCTGTTCATGATGAGATAGATTTCGAGTTCTTGGGAAATGTAACGGGTGAGCCCTATACAATTCACACCAATGTATTTAGTCAAGGAAAAGGTAACCGAGAGCAACAATTCAAACTATGGTTTGATCCCACCACCGATTTTCACACTTATTCTATCACGTGGAATCCTCACAACATCATGTAAGTATAGACTTATAGACTCTTTCTCTGTTATTTTTTAATAGTAACAATCGATTTATAAACTTTTGGTTTGATGTTTGTTGGAAAAAAATATTGTGAAACGAAGGGAGTAACAATTTTAATTTGAAAACATGTGTCGCAGATTCTCAATAGATGGACTACCCATAAGGGAATTCAAGAATAGGGGATCAATAGGAGTACCATACCCAATAAGCAAACCAATGAAGATATATGCAAGTTTATGGAATGCAGATGATTGGGCTACAATGGGTGGGAGAGTCAAGACTAATTGGAAAGAAGCCCCTTTTGTTGCTTCATATGGTGGCTTCAGGATAACAGCTTGTAAGTGGGCCCGGTCAACGAAGTCAACAAATTGCATAGAGTCAAACACAAATGGAGAAAAGGATGAATGGAAAAATCAACAAGTCAACTCTTCTGAAAAAAAGTGGATGAAAATGGTGCAAAGACACTACATGGTTTACAATTATTGTACTGATTTAAATAGGTTTCCTAAAGGTTTGCCTGTTGAATGCAATTTATCTTAACATAACAAAGAGCATCTTTTAGTTCAATTGTACATTTTTTGGGGGGGGATATGTTGTTTTATGCTAAGACAAATATGTCCACATCTATATATTTTTACATCAATAAATACTAATATTCTCTCTTATATTATGGATATGGACTTATGGAGACATTGGATGCATGTTTCAACTTTCAAGTTGAAATTTAAAAGAAGGGGAGGGCTTGTCTTACATGTATTATTCTCTCTCCCTCTTTTTCTTTGCCCGAAAAAATAGTTAAAATTTCACTATCTATATTTAAACACTTAAAAAGTAAGTGATTTTAAGACACATACTAAATATTTAAGGGTCTGTTCACATTTATGAACTGAACTGAACTGAACTGAACTGAAATAAATATTTCATGAGAGAATGAAATTAGGAGCTGAACTGAACTGATTGAAGCTGAACTGAAATGAAATTAAGTAAATGTGAACATGCCCTAAATCATTAAGTGTATAAAATAATCTAAAATTTTGATCGTGGTTCATTATACATACATAATAAATATAATCATACAATAGTACTTGTACTAATTTCTATTTTCATAATTTCAATATTAATATTTTTTTAATAAATATATATACTTAGTATATATTTATTTTACAACTTAATCAATATATAGTTATACTATACTATATAAATATTAAGATCAAAGTTATATATCGATAACTATTTCATTTAAATTGTTGTGATTATGATACGAAGAGAGTAAGACCCTGTTCTTTTGAGCAACTCTGCTTTGCTCTGATGATTCTAACTGTTATGTTAAAATCTACTCTGTTCTACCCTACTTGTCCAAAAGCTTAAAAGAATATTGCCTAACTGTCAAAAATAGATAGAGTACACCTTAGGCCCACTAATCTTATCGGCCTTTTAAAGAATAGAGACAACATTCTTCCTAATAACGGGCCCGCCGGTGGAGTCACGTCGTCTCACTTTGACAAAGGCCCGTTCTACTTGCGATTCAAATTATCAAATCAAACCCAGTTAGAGAAAAAGCTCTTACAAAACTCCAAAATTAAGAATTTTTAATTTTTTTAAATTTTTTTTTATGTGGTACTAAAATTTTTAATTGGCAAACCTCGTTATAATCGTGAACAAAGCGGCCCACTATACTATCTTCTTCTCGACTTTATGTCATAACAATGAGATACACCTTCCCATTGAGAATGTGCAGCAGCTCGTATGATATGGAGAAAAGTAGTAGATGAATCGATAGCCCACAAGTTTTTTCGAGGAAATATCAAGGAGTGGATTACAGAGAATGTAAAAGAGGATGGGGTAGAGGGTAAAGAATCGTGGCCTACTTTCTTTGGAGTGGCAATATGGTGGATATGGAGGTGGAGAAATTGCTTTGTCCATAATAGAAGAGATGAACTCCCGATTGACTTTGGTGCTTTCCTCCAAGTCAGATATGATGAGGCAAGACGAGCAATTTGGGATGCTTTGGATAATCCGAGTAACGAGAAGAAATACAAGGTGCCAGCAAATATCACATGGCACGCACCCCCCTACGGATGGTATGTGCTCAACTGTGATGGGGCTGCCAAGGGTTGTCCTGGTCCAGCTGGTGGGGGTGGGATTATAAGGGACTATGCAGGTAACTTGGTGTCTTCTTTTGCTGCTAACTTTGGATATAGTACAGCCTTCAGAGCAGAGGTCCTTGCGTTGGTCAGAGGACTAGAGATTGCTAAAAGTTTGCAGATTGATAAAATTGAAATTCAGCTCGACAATTTGGCCTGTGTTCAAGCTATTCACAAGGGAAAAGTAGCTTATGGTGAGAATATTCATGATTTGCAGCAATGCTTGAAGCTAATTAATGAAGACTGTTGGCAAGTAACAGTAGCACATATATTCCGAGAAGGCAATAGAGCGGCGGATTGGTTGGCCAACCGCGGAGTCGTGCTAGACTCTCAATTAGAATATTTCAACAACAATGTTCCGATAGAGCTTAGTCGTATTTTAGAGGAGGACATTAGGGGTGTTGCCATGCCTCGCCTCATTCCTCCGTAGTAGTGTTTTAGTTTTTTTTCCTTGGAGTTTGGTTGGCTGTGTGCTTGTGTTTTTTTTCGTTATTTTTTCTTTTTCTTGAATCAAAAAAAAAAAAAAAAAAAAAAATACACCTTCCCATTTTAAATCTTACTCCATATTTTGGCGTTTTTTCATTCATAAATTGAGATGTCCAAAAAAAAATTCAAATGATACATAATGTCATCCAATCAAAGATTTAAACTACTTGTAGCTTCGTACGGAGTAGTAAACGATGATCCAATAATACTTTATATTTCGTATAATTTATGGACTATGGTTGTCATATGCAAATGGAAGACACAAAGTAGATTATACAAGTATGTACCTTTTCTTCTTTTTATTTATGTTTACATAATTCATCAATACATTTCTTACCTAAATAGGTAAATGTACACTCTAGGTCTCTAAGTACATTTTACACAGCTTTATAATATTTGGCTGACTAGAGTTGGTGACAAAGGGTTTAATATAATTGGAGCACATGTTATTGGTGTATTAAGATAATAAGACTAAATATCCTATTAAGTAAATGGACTTGCTTTTAACTAAAATAATGGAAATTGATAACACATATAGGGACCAAAGAAGTATGACTCGGATATGATTAGACTACCTATGTGCTTAGAATACCATTGTGATTAACAACCGGCATAATTAGTTGAAAAAACTAATGTTCTATTTTCCTTATTAATAACCGAAATGAAATAAACATGATATAATTTAAAATATCAAAATGACACGATCTATAAGAATGTAAATGACAATTATAAGTTCATGACACTTGTTTTATATTGTGAATCAAAATTCTTTTAACCATTTATCTGTGGCACTTCATCATTATATCCTTTTATTTACAAAGAACTGCAAATGACAAATAATGTAAATCAAATCTGATCTCCTATGTTAAAATTATTAGTCCATAAGACACTAAAACAGCTAACATAAATTAAAAATAAATAAATAAATATATATGTATATATATATATATATAGAAATAAATAAATAAAAGGATAATTTGCCAATTACTACCGCAAAAAATTTTAAGATGTTGCGATTACTACCAAACCCCCATTAAACCCAATTATGACGTCATTATATCCCTTTAACCCGTATTTGACCATGGTTAAGGGCTTAACCAGCCCCCCTAAAAAAATGATTTAGGGATATAATGACGTCATGGTTAAGGGCTTTAACCATGGGTTAAAGTGATATAATGACGTCATAGTTGGGTTTAATAGGTTTTGGTAGTAATCGCAACATCTTAAAATTTTTTGCGGTAGTAATTCACAACTTTTTTAATTTGCGGTAGTAATTTACAAAGTAGTATTAACTTGCGATGATAATTGACAAATTTTCCTAAATAAAATATGCCTACATAAAACAAAATCTCGCTTTGTTGAGCTAAGTACAAGTAGGAAGTACCTTTTGTACATATGGAGGGTAGCACCGTGGAACAAGCGATGTGCATAATTGCTCTACACATGCCTCTAACTATAGCGGTATATGTTCATAAATCACTGCCCTTTTTTTCTTTTTTTTTTTTTTTTTTTTTTTTTTTTTTTTTTTTTGTATCTGTATCGACAAAGTCTAGGGATGTTTTATTACTTCGTATTTCTTTATTATATGCCAATTCTTTTTATTTTTTGCTCCATGATTTTGGTTGCCTTATTAAGTCTGACGACATAATGATACTTTGTAATATGATTCTTTCTTCTTAGTTTCCATTAGAGTACAACACATTCACTTAGGGAGCCTTTAAAGAATTATGATGTTGCTAAATTGCTACAATATCATTTCAATCAATTGATACATTATGTCATTATAAGTTTGTGATCTTAAGATCTAACTATAACAAGTAACATAAGATTTAAGTTAGGTTGTTCCATTTAGAATACAATTTTTGTTTTTATTTTTAATTTTTATAATTAAAACCATGATGATAGGTGTATCATACTTGTATTCTAGATTAGAATATTATCCTTTCATGAGATTTATACTAGTTAGTAGATATAGTATGAACCTCACTCTAGTAGAGGCTCGGTCTCATCGCTTCCGTACATCATTTTTTCACCCTGGTAAGATTATTATGCATCCAAGTACTTTCATGGGTTCCCAAAGGGCCTTGGGAGTCATGGATGACGCCCATAACCATTTCATTCATCCTTAATCACCATGCCTTAAGGCAACGATGACATGCCCTCAAACGACAAAACTAGTTGTTTGTAATTTGTATGCCTTGTCCTTGGGTGCACATGTCTTATGCACATGCCACACGCCCCCTTGCACCATCCCACACGCCAACACTTTAGCTTTGTCACTTGTCTCAATCCACTACTTAGCATTTTTTTAGCATATAAGAAGCAACAATTGTATTTCATTAAAAGCTCAATCCCTTCAACTCATTTTTTTTCTCTTATTTTGTCCATTTATCGATAATCAAATTACATAAATTACAACAACAAAAAAAAATGTTAGATACTCAATAGTTGATAAAAATTAGTAATATTTAGTTTGTAAATAATTAAAATGAATTATAAGTTGTATTACATAAGACCGTCTTATAGACTTTTTCATCTTAACCCTGCACCCACATTCAATAATTTAACTCTACAAAACCTAATTCTACTATACAATTTTTATTACAACAAGAATAATTATTTCTATTTAAAAACTAAAATCATAAATTTGCCCTTATAGAAAAACAAACCTACAAATTAATACGGAGTATGTAGTACAATCAAACTCAAAATTAGTTACAAACCTTAAACTAATCATCTTAGGCATAAAACTCCACGAGAATAATATAAAATTAATTATCAATAACATGATTAGATCTCGCCCCATTCATACTCATCTAAAAAAAAGGAAAAAAAAAAAAAAAAGAAAATTCCATGAGCTTATTTTTAATAAATTGTACACAAAACGACACCGTTTGAAGTGAATCTAGGCTGAAGAAAATGACATGGGCCCATATGGCCATATTACATCTTAATCCAGATTTATAATTTTGACCGTTTTTGTTCAATATTTAGTTTAAACAACTTACTCATTTTTCAAAGTTATCAAATAAATAAACAAACACACATACTCCGTATAATTTACACTTTTATTTTTAATAAAAAACGTACATCTTTCATCTCTCTTCTATTACGCTTAATCCAGCTGCATTTGTGAATAACTAAGTAGTTAATTACACTAATCTCTTACTTAATCATAAATGCAGCAAGTTTTAACACCTTGAATTATTTTGTTGCTGGATTTATACATCTACTATCTTTCGATGCATTGTACTAGTTTTCGTGACTAATTTTCTCTGTGTTTTTTTAAATATAGATTTAATTTTAATATACACATTACATTTTTTTTTTTCTACTTTGACGAACAAATTTGGCAAAAGGTTAGTTTTTCTGGATTGTCATTTTTATTGAAGAAATTCAAAGAGTATTTAAAAATTTTTGGAAAAAAATTTCCCATTTATAGTAGTGGGTTGTTGGAAGTTTTGTTGCTAGTTCTTTTCTTCTTCAGTATAATTTTACTAAATTTGGGAGATAAAGATCCAAATTGGCAACTGAGTTTTAAAGAATCTTTTAAGCTAATTGCAGAAATAAAAAAGAATAGAGAAAATTAAATTTATGTGGCGTGGAAGTTTCATATACTAGTAGTGGTAAATTAAAAGTTAGAGTTAGCACATTACAATTTTTGCTACATTATTGATCAAATAAATTTAATTTTTATTCCTTTAAAATAAAAATTAAATCTTGTTGTGAGTATGCAATTTTGCCAACATCTGGCAAATTGATACCAGAAATTCAAAGAAGTGCTGTAAATTATTTTCTGGGTTTTTGCCAAATGTTGTGTTTTTATGGGTTTTAATTAATTTTTCTGGGTTCATAATTTTGAGTACCTTTGAAAATAAAAAATTTAGCAAATTTCGAGGTTATTATTTTCTGGATCTGGGTTATTTATTGTTGAAGATTATTAATTAAAGTCGAGTAAAGTAGGGATTGGTAGTTGGGATTTTTGTGAGTAATTTAATTTTTTTTTTTTTTTTTGAATTAGAAGTCACAGAATTCATAAGTTACAGTCACAAGAAAGTTGCTTAGAGTCCTGACCAATTGGGTTGTTTGCACAATCCAATTTTTAGGTCTTTAAAAGGGGAGAAATTGGAGAGAAAAAATAGAGAGAAGTTAAATTATTTTTAGAGAGAGAAAGTTTAGAGAGAGAAAATGGGACACTCTGCTGCAGTTTGGGATTACAGGCCTGCTCATGAACTCACTTCTGACTGGAATGGAAATCCTTATGTTATTCTCAGAAATCCTCAAGGTGCTTCTGCAAGGGTAAAGATTTCATCTTTTTTTATTTTTCTACTTTATTTTGTAATTTAATTGTATTTTGATTGGATTAATTTCTTTTGTGTTGTTGATTTTGATAGAATGAAATTTCATTTGTGCCATTTATTGTTTTTGTTTTATTGATGGAATTCATTTTTGTAATCTTGGTTGATGGTGATGTTTTTAGTACAAAAAATCTTGTTGGGTATTATTTTATAATATTGATTATTACATTCACAAGTTTAAACTAATTTTAAAATTAAATCAAGAGTTGTTGTAGTTTTAAGGAAAATCTTAGTTTTTGTTTGTTCTATTGAAAACGATTCTGTTTCATCTTTTTCTTTATCTCCATTTTTTTTTAAAATTAAAAATAAAATGGGGTTATTGATTTGTATGCTTTTCAATTTTACAGATTAGTTTGCACGGGGGACAAGTTATGTCATGGAAAAATGAACATGGGGAAGAACTCTTATTTACCAGCAGTAAGGTAAATGTATAAAATTTGAATTATTTGATGCTTTGTTCTTCAGTATGATTTCTGTAAGTGTTTATTGCTGAGGGTTTTGGTGCAAACAATTCGATGTAAATCGTATAGTTATATAATCAATGACATTAATTCATGCATCTAATGTGTGATTGTGAATTTGTGATTTGAAACTGGTGGAATTGATTTACTTCACTATACAACCTAATCAAGCATTCCAGCATTAATTTGTTTGTAAATAAATTTTCTTTATCATTCCATGTTTTGATCTTGAACATCATTTATCTATTGAAGTTTTGGCCAGAGCTTTGATACAAACTAATGGATTTATAGAATAAAAAATTTAGAGTTTTCTGTCTCTCTTATTGTCCCCCATTTGTGATTTGAGGTGAATTAAATCACTATCTCACCCTGCATCAACCCGTAAAAATCTGAATTATTGTCCCCCATTTGTGATTTGAGGTGAATTAAATCACTCTATCACCCTGCATGAATCCGTAAAAATCTGAATCTGTTCAAGCCTTAACATCTTTTTGATTATTTTTTTTTTTATGTATTAAAAATGGCTATGAAAACTATATTTTTGAACTTCAATTGAAAGTTGAGTTTTTTTCTGAATCACACTTCATGTGTATCCTTCACACGGGAAGTGAAAGTTCCAAGTTTTCAACTGTGAGTCCTCTCTAGTCAATAATTGAATCACTTCACTTTCTGGTGATAAATAGGCCGTCTTTAAGCCACCAAAAGCTATGAGAGGAGGAATTCCGCTTTGTTTCCCTCAGGTACATTGGTAATTTCATCTATGATTATTTAAAGTTTTTAATGTTGAGTCAGTATCTGAGTTGAATTTGAATGTCATTGAAGTTTGGGAATTGTGGATCGCTTGAGCAACATGGGTTTGCCAGGAACAAAGTCTGGGCCATCGATAACAATCCCCCTCCTCTGCCACCAAATGATTCCAATGGAAAATCCTTTGTTGATTTGATTCTGAAACCATCTGCAGAGGATCTCAAATGCTGGCCACACAGGTACCATGAAACTTTCACGAAACGTGCCTTAGTTTTCTTCCTATACTTGTTGGACCTCATAATGCTCATATGTAACCCATTTTCGTGTCACGAGTTATTGAGCTTTAGATGGTTACTAATCCGTTTTTTCCTTATTTTACTGATCTGCTTTCTATATCTTAGTTGTCATTATCCGTCACGTGTCTCAGCCTCTCAGGACATTTTTCATGCCACTTATTGATAATTAAATTAATTTTCTTATTGCAGTTTTGAGTATCGTTTGAGGGTTGCTCTTGGGGCTGATGGACGTTTGTCATTAATATCTCGCATAAGAAACGTTAATGGAAAGCCTTTTACTTTCTCATTCGCCTACCACACCTATATGTCAGTTTCTGATATCAGGTATCGAAACCTTGTTGCTTGTATTGATATTCTGACACATTCTTAATTGTCTTGTGTTCTTTACAGAATTGTGACATCTTGTTCGCCTCATTACTTTTCTTGGCCCTGTTGGTTTCTTAACTTGCCATATGATTTCTTATTCAGTTATCCTGTCTTACTTTTTTCTGTAGTGAGGTTAGGATAGAAGGATTGGAAACACTAGACTACCTTGACAACCTCTTTCACAGAGAACGCTGTACTGAGCAAGGAGATGCTTTGACATTTGAATCTGAGGTACTATATGCACCTATTTCATTAATCATATGCTAGCTTCTTTACCGAAAACTCTATTGATAAAATCTTGAGAAACTCTATCATAGACTGTGTACTCTTCTTGACTAGCCCTATATGGCACTCTTTCGATAATATTTTGCTCACTCCTTTCATACCTGCTTTTGGCTTTTTAGGTGGATCGTGTATATCTGAGTTGTCCAAACGCTATTGCTGTCATTGATCATGCAAAAAAGAGGACATATGTGATCCGAAAGGATGGCTTACCAGATGTTGGTAAGATGCACTGGCAGAAGAGCTTACATTATGTTGTATATTTTGCATTGAAAAAAACACTTGAGGTTGAATTAATATCATTGTTTTGTGATGTTTTTTCTTTCTTAATTTTGCACAGTTGTATGGAATCCATGGGATAAAAAATCAAAGGCAATGACTGATTTTGGGGACGAAGAATACAAGCACATGCTTTGTGTTGACGGAGCAGTGGTTGAGCATCCCATCACGCTGAAGCCTGGAGAAGAATGGACAGGCCGGCTAGAGATTGTAGTGGTGCCTTCAAGCTTCTGCAGTGATCATCTTGATCTGCATAAAGTGCGTTTTTAAGAAAGCTGAATTCCTATACATAAATAAGGAAGTTCCGAATTGCAAATCGATGCAGCTCAATATAGCTATTCCTAGTTTACAGTATTAGTTTAATACCGAAGTATTTCAGTTTATAATGTAAGGAATTTTGATGTCAGCAACAAAATAGATAGAAGAATAGAGTAAAATGCTGGAATCATTTTTTACTTCCAGCAGAAAATGCATTGAAGTTAATGTATGAAAAATATAGGATGACTTTGAGATTTACTATAATATTATATCTTACTTGATTTTATATTATTGCAGAAAACTGTACTTCAATTTTATATCTTGTTTTTAGACATTAAGCTATTCCTAGTGTACAGTATTAGTTTAATACCGAAGTATTTCAGTTTATAATGTAAGGAATTTTGATGTCAGCAACAAAATAGATAGAAGAAAAGAGTAAAATGCTGGAATCATTTTTTACTTCCAGCAAAAAATGTTAAAGCAGGAAGCCCTCTATAATTTATATCAGAGCCAAGTTTCGATCTTGGGACCTGTGGGTTATGGGCCCACCACGCTTCCGCTGCGCCACTCTGATTATTGTGTTGTTTTTGGTCAAATTAAAATATTTAAACATTCTTTCGTTGTTTTTTTGGAAAGTCAAGTCAAGATCTGACATAATAGTTAAAATCTCATGATTACGGATCTAATTATGTTGAGGATTATTTAACAAATAACAATACACTGTACATAGATTATTCATTTAAACTTTATAAAAACGTATAACATAATCTTAAGGTTGTTTGGTATGTGAGATTAGGGGGGAGGGAATGGGATTTATAACGTGACATAACGGGTTCATCTAGTCTTTGATACTGCAGAGCAAAGCAAGCAAATACAAGTATTATTCAATGTGAATTGTAATCCTACTCCCTAAAACCAGCAGCCAGCAGGTGATGGCTTTCGCTTTCGAATTGATCTTCCTGTGCGTGATGGTACCCTCCATCTGATAAAACCAACCCTCGTTGTATTTCAAAACCTTAAAGATTGAGTACACCATAAGCATGGAGGCGTAATATTTTGGTGACCTTACCCAGTTTTTTGAGGAATAATATTTGTTTACCAACTTTTCAGAACAAGTGGAGTCTATCAGTTTGTAAATCATTAAAATTAAACCAATGGAGAACAATTGAAACAATACTGTGCAGTTCCTTGAATTCACGTCTTTCTAATTGCCTAGGAATTACACTAAAAGCTCAAACCCATATCCGTAAGCCTCAACTATCTCCAATGGTTCAGTTCTTGCCGCTCTTAAGCTATGAACCTCGTCGATACTGAAGTTGCTTAGTGTTCTCAAGCAATATCTGTCAACCAAGTACAAATGATGCTTAGCTAGGAATATAACATGTATACACAAGCAACTATTCCTAGCATTAGCTGAATAGCTGTATATGACCATGTTTATATTTGAATAAGGCAATAAGGTTAGTAATGTTCTTACTTCACGGATGTAATTGGCAACTGCCTTGCAACCTTCTGTTGCAAGCTGCATTACAGTTTCAAATGTATCCAAGGGCAACTTTGAGTCCATCTGCATTTATTAATCAAGAGGCAGAACACAATGTTTAAGAATTTGGACTTTCAAATAACAGCACATTATTTAAACAACTAAAAGCTATCTGAGACCAAAATGCTACAGGGTCCATATTGTGTAAAAAAAAAAAAATCCCCAAAGCTCACAGGCATCGTCTAGATCAGAAGTGTTCATATGGAAGATAATCTACACATGCAAAACAGTAACTTCAAAGAGGCCAAGAATAATCCTGGCCCTCCGTAAAATTAATCTTGATAGCAAACCAAAATTAATCTTGATAGCAAACTAAAATTAATCTTGATAGCAAACAATAGATGTGGGTAACCTGAAGAAGTGTAACTTTGTCCAATTTAGGAAGAAACCCTACAGTAACATCAGGACCTCCAGCACTATCTTCTACATAATTTAGATCTGCCATCAGAAACTTTCATATTAACATAATTGCAAGCGAATGCAGATTCATTTTGATATTATATTAGAGGTAGAAAGTACCAAGGAGCGGTGTTGTATTAAGATACCCAGCACTGCATGATGTAACCAGATCACGCATTGGAATGCCAGCATCAGCTAGAGCCAATGTAGCTGCATTAATGCATGCAGATCTAGTTCCTGCAGAACAGAAAATTCAAAACTTGTTTAAACATTCTCACTGACAGAAATCAGAATACATCAAATCCTCACATAAAATCACAACCTCAGCAAATATGAAATTGCAAGGGCTCAAAAAATTATATCTGTAATCAACATTTTAGTTTTCATGATAATCAGCTACAGACTATAGAAAGTCCCCCTCTTTTTCCTAGTTGTGGAAGGGGGGGGGGGGGGGAGCTAAAACATCTGAACGTAGGGGCATTTGTAGTTCAGTTACTATAATGTAGCATCTTTAGGATAATTCTTACAAACAGAGTTCACAATCATGAAGCATATTTAAGTGGATTTCAACAATCATGTCCTTGAATGAGGAGCAGATGAATAGCAATCCATTAATACATTTACATTTTAATGACTATTGCAACTTTGTTGGTGAGAAATAGAAATCCAGAAACTATATAAATGCTGGAACCATAGTTACCGCCATCAGCTTGGAGGACTTGGACGAAAATGTCAATCTGCAACGATTTAAATTGGTCATAGAAAAAGATCAATAAATGAAAAAATATAAGGCAGTACCAAGTTTATATAAGCTTTTTAGTCATTTTCTACCTGAGAACGAGGCATTAGGTTTGTCATTATGCAAGCCTCCATAGTTTGCCGAATAACCATTGATATTTCAGTTGACCGCCTAATAAGTAGTAAATATTAAATCAGAAATACTGATACTAATAGCAATTGTTGTTAAAAGGATTCCTGGGTGCCTACAAGAGAATGGTATAACACTCTTGATGATTGTATAAGAGATACATTCGAATCGTTGAAATCATAATTTGAGCACTTCATGCAACACCGAAGGGTTGTTATTGATTACAATTTCAAAAAGCTCACTATAAAGACTTGTATGTGGTCAGATTGGGAAGTAACGGTAGTATTAATTAGTTTTGTTGGATTCAATAGCTCACAATTCTACTTCTTGCTTGGAAGCACAAGAACCGAAGAACTAAAATGAATGAAATGAAGAACGAAAAGATTTAACACGGAAGAAGAGATAAATAAAACTAGCACAGGATCCATAAAGAAGATGAACTGAAAGAGTGTAAGCACAATCATTCTAATTCAGACAGTTGAATTAAGAACAGAAACTAATAGTAGTCAGCCAGAATCGTGTCCAGCTCCTCTAAGTCCCCACTTTTTCAATTACTTTAGAAAGCCTCGGAAAAGGTTAAGAGGTAGGGCAAGATGACAGAGGGATATGTATTAAATAGATTATTGATCTGCAGACTGCAGTAGGATTTAACAACAAAGAACCGCGAAAACAAATTCAAAAACAAATTATGCTGAAACTTCAACAAGAGCAAAGATATCCTAGTATGGCTATGTATAGTTTCTAGGAACTTGCTGTTACAATAGAGTTCAGATGCTCATGCATCTAAGATTAACATGTTTCGATATGTATGAGATTCACCTAAATACGAAGCAAGGAACAGACTAACCTGTCTCCCTTTGGTTTTCTCACACGATCTCCGGTACTGAAATTAGCCATGGTGTACTCACATCGCACCTGAATATATCAGAAAATAAACGTAAAACACTCAAATCCAGAAAATTATAATCCAACATAAACACAAAGATGGAGTGTGTTAAGAGATTATTACCAATGCCTGGTCATTCATCTGCTGCGCTCTATTTTCAACCTAAAAGAGATCAACTTACATTAAACATCCATAAATTAGGCCAAAATTCAGCAATCTTCCAACCTCCAATGATCAATAACACAATCACTCGGAAAAACACGAATACAATAAACTAACAGCAGCTAAATAATCCCGTAACATGAATATTACTTTCAAAAATCAGCTAACAATTACGGTTAAAACTGAAACCAACTGCAAGGACTTGGTAGCCCTAATCATAACTTAATTTTTCTGAAATTAATTTTTGGGTAAGAAGAACAATCATAATTAAGCAGAGAAATCATCATAAATTGAATACCTAGAAATACAAATTGCAATTAACATATAAAATTATAATTCAATTAACTAAAAAGGAGAGAAGAGTACCTCTCTAGGACCATAAACGGCAGCAATGACTTTGGTGTTGCCCATTTCGAAAACAGCTGAACTAAATTCAATTACAAATTCAACAATTTCATTAAATTTCTGCTATTCAAAAAATCAATTGAAAAAAAAAATTAAAAAAAAAAAATACCCGTCAGCTTTAGACACAGCGCCAATCTGAGCTCGAAGTTGCCTCATTTCCAAAGGACGACGACCGTCTAAGCGGAGACCTTCTGGGCTGACGAACTCCATTACTGCTGCTTCTCTTCTTTCTCTTCAACTACACTGTTATTGCTTGGCTGTTGCAGACTACTCAACTAGAGAAGAGAGAGAATTAGAAAAATTGAATGAGAAATAAGGTAAGGGTTCATCAATTTTTCTTAATTTCTCATCACTGGCCCAATTAGCCTCTATTGCTCTACTTTTTTTTCTTTTTTTTCCTCGTTAGCCCATCAATGGACCCATTACTCCACCCCTAAACACATCCCTTATTCTCTTAAGTGTCAATCTAGATGACTAGGTTGGCCAATCGGGTTCGATTAAGTTAGGTTGGATTTTATTTAACTTTGAGTCATGTTAGATTGTTGTGCACATACAAGTTGAAATCTCGAGTTATTTTCGGATCAAATCAAATCAGGTCGAGTCAGGTTGGATTACTTTTTTACACCTCTGATATCTAATTATTTGGCCCAAAAATACAGATTGAAACCCAATACTATTCGAACCACATAACTTGAAGTTGACCTAACTCGACCCAACCCGCTACAAATTAACCTTAGAAATGAGAATAATTATATCTTATAGTAAAATATGTCTAGTTTATTTCATCTTAATAAGCTTATGAGTAAAATAATAGAATATGACTTGACCCAAGTAAAAAATAACCTTCAACGAGAATATTATAATACTCATTGATTTGGAATTTGGATGACGTGAATGTACTCATGTATAAGTATAAAGGGTTAGGAATGAAGGCTAGATCAATGGCTAGTAAAATATTTTTAGTGAAAAACATACTTCGAAAATTAAACTCAATGCGTGGGTACATAGTATGATAGTACATTCACAAATCACAAAATATCTTTTTTTTTTTTTTTTTTCTTTCTTTTCACATAGATGATGGGGAACCGGGGATACAACACTACTTCTATATACTTCATATGTATTATGTGGATCAGCCACTGCTATCACTATCTCAAACTAATATACATATTCATTTATTTTCAATTTTACTTCATCAATTAATGTAGTTTTCAAGTGAAGATTGGAACACAACTTAAGATAGATAATAATCATAATATCAAAGATGGGAAGAAGCTTTCATCCAAACCAAATTACAAGTACAATTGATCCAACCTTGTCGACAACCATATACAATTCCTTAATTCACAATTAAAGTTGCAAAAATCACTGTCATAATTTCAAGAATATTTACCATTGAATGAGAAAGAATAACCTTATGAACATATCTTAAGAATAATTAATTTAACAACCATGCACCTTTAATCCTTTATTAATTTTTTGACGGGTCTAATTCAATAAACATAGTACATCAGTGAATATATTACATAATCTTATAAAATAACCAGCCACCTTCTTGTTTGAGATGATTGATGATGATCTAAAATGTGGCCTCCATTAACTTGGGAGAAATAATACTGTAAATTTATATTCGGATTATATAAATATGTTATCATGTAGCCTGCAAAAATATGCTAACCACGTATTGAAATAATTCTCTTAGCTTCGTTCATATTTTATATGCTTTGTTAATTTAGAGTAATTATTGAAAGAAGCACACTCTTTTTAAAATAAACTATTTTATTCCATTAATAAAAAAAGCTATTTTATTGAATATAATGTGTGATTAATTATGATTAATTGATTTGGAGGCCGGCTTATTACTTCGGTGGTCGTTTACTGAAGTGTCACCAACTGACATGTCCAACAGTCCAAGGCTCTTTGTTCTGCTAATTTTACCGAATTACAAGTACTCTTTTACTAATAACGATTAACTTCGATTTCATTGAATAATATTAGATGTATGTAGTGATTTTTAATTTGAAACATCACAATTTTTGAGTTGAAATTTTGGTTGGAGTATGTATGATTCTGTATTCAAAGAAAGCTACCAATGTCACCCGATTTTTTTTCAACCAACCCGCATATCCATTAATAGGTATTCCGTAAAAAAAAATGAAAAAAAAAATAATGTTGGTATGAACATTTCTAATATGCGCAACATATAATAACAATAGATTCAGATAAACTCAAAATAAGAAAAATGTATCCCTTACAAATAAGGTATGAGTGGTAAAATATTTATTTATTTTAAATAATAAGAGTTCTCTAATAATTATAGCATTATTTAATTGTCACATATAATAATACGGACTAAGGGCCTGTTCATATTTACTGAACTACTGGGCTAAAATAAATATTTTATGAGAGAAGAAAGTTTAAGAGCTGAATAGAACTGAATTGAAATTAAGATGAAGTGAACAACCCTAATTATATACTTTTTTTATTTTAAATCCCCTAATTATGTACTTAATGCACAAAGTTACATGTAATTAAGTTTAATTTAGTTGTAATACCACCAATTATTGTTGGTTAATAAATGTACAATAAGAGCATGTTTGAATAGTTCACCTTGTTTTCACATATGTCAAGAAAAATAATTTCAAATAAGAGTTAAACGTTACAGTTGTTTAAACTTCAATTTACAACTCAAATAAATTATACATACATGCTAATTCCATGTAAATGAAATATTTATTTCCTTTAAACAAATAATACTCTGTAAAACAATTACGTATTTACATTCCAATAAATCACGTATTTATATTTATACATAATGAGTACGGAATAATAAATAATAAATCCCCCCCCCCAAAAAAAAAAAATTATATAAGATTATTACAAGTATATATGGCATCAATATTAAATGAAATCAAATATTTTGTAAAAAAAAATAAATAAATAAATAAATGAAATATTGCATGCTCGGCAACTCGTCCAGCTACTACAGATTTCCATTCCCCTCAAATTTATAATCCCCCACGATTTCCTCGCTCTTTCATTTCCCCTTCTTTCTCTCATTATTCTCCCTACATCCTTGTTTTCCATTCTCTCTCTTCCCTCCTACATTCTTCATCCATTCTTAATTACATACCAATAATTCATCCATCATCCATTTTAATCTTAATTAATTATTATTTACAACATATAATTTCATACAATAAATGGCAGATGTTCCATTAAAGAAACCACCTGGATTCAAAGACTCATCAACACCGCCTCCGAAACCGCCTCCTCGTGTCGCTCCTCCAAGAAAACCACCTGTTCCATCATACTACCAACCTAAGAGAAAACGAAGCAACTGTTGTTGTCGTTGCTTTTGTTGTTTCCTTTGCATCCTCCTCCTTATCCTCTTCATCCTCGTCGCTTGTTTTGGTATCTTTTACGCATGGTACCAGCCCAAACTCCCGGTCTTCCGGTTCCGTCCCATTGAATTTGACCGGTTTAATGATCGGTTAAACCGGACGGAACCGCGGTGTTGGACTCCCGGATTATTATCCGTGTTGAGGTGAAAAACCCTAATAGTAAAATGAAAATTTACTACGGTGAAACTAAGGTGAGTTTGACGGCTGATCACGAGACCGAGTTGGGGTCCGCGACCGTGGGTGCGTTTAAACAGCCTGCGAATAATGTTACGTTGTTGAAATTTACTGTGGTGGTGGCGAAAGGGGTGGTGGATTCGACGACGGGGAAGAGGTTAAAAGATAGGGTGAAAAGTGAGCAGGTGGTGGTAAATGCCGCGGTAAAAACTGTGGTTGGTATTGGGGTGTTTAAGACTAAAATTGGGATGCTTCCTGTGAATGTTAATTGTGGTGATGTTTCTTTGAAGCAACTCAATGATGGCAAAACTTCTCCTACATGTTCTTTTAATACCTTGAGATGGTAAGAAAAATTCATCGTTAATTTTTCCAAATGTTTGATTTTATTATTATTGGATAAACGAAATAATATAATCACAATAATCATTTTATCAAGGATTAATAAAATAATTAGAGATCGTAAATCAAATTAATAGAAATGCAAATATAAAATTCAATGATACTCCATTTACGTTTATATGGTACATGCGTCTTGCACATTTCCAAATCAGCTTGATTTTAATTTTTTTTTTAATGAGTATTTAAAATTTCTAGTAATTATTTTTTTTAGTGTTAAAAATTGTTATGCATGTTTTAACAAAAATGCTAATTACTGCTTAAAATTCTGTGTCATGAGCTAGAAGTCAATGGTTTTATTTTAATATACTTTTATCGGAATTTGCAATGTGAAAAGAGAAAAATAACAAATATCAACTTGTTTGGTCATGAATTTTAGGAAATGTATAACATGTATTAGTACGAGTACTAAATTACTAATTGTGACGTGATATGTTGGATAATTTTGCCTAATATAACCCAAATAGAAATAGAAATACATGGAGGGAAAAAAAACACTCTAAAACGTCAATCAATAATAGTTTTTTTAAGAAAAACTAACTCATTAATAAGTTTTTTTTTTTTTTTTTTTTTTTGGAAAAGAACTCATTAATATGGTTTTATTATTGCAGGATCAACATAAAGTCATAAAGTAGCAAATTTTCGACAACATATCATAGCACAAACCCAAATATTCTTCGTATTGTTGGATCCACACAAATTGATAGCGTGTGACAAGATCAATTTTTTTACCTTTTTTTTTCTTTTGGGTAACATTTTATCGTGTTTGGGTAATGGATTTTAGTAGCTGTTTTACATAGCATTCCAATAGTTAATGCTATAGATATTTTATATTTTTTCTTGATTGAATTACAAGTTTTGATATCTTCATTTTTTTTGTTTATCCGCTTTTGGTTATATGCCATAAAAGGTTAACATTTAGCCATTTAATCATAATTAATTGTGATTTATTACTTTGTTAAGAGATGATATTGATATATACTTTGAAATCAATGTATGAGATTGGTCTTGCTACAATAATTAGTCAAATACTTATGATGTCAAATAATATTATTATCATTTCCTTATGGAGTAATAATTTTTCGAACAGCTCACAGTGTAACATATCAATCAATAAAAAATGAGCCAGTTTTGATCCCTTTTTAAAGCTATACTTATATGTTATATGTTGTGAACTTGTGATAGGAGTAAAGGATTGGTATGCTTGAATTAGTACGGTAAGTTGTAAGTACATTTAGGATTTTAAGGTCTGTTCACATTTACTTAATTTCAGTTCAGTTCATGTCTAATCTCAGTTCAGTTTAGCTCAGCTTCAATCTGTTCAGTTCAACTCAATTCAATACATGTGAACAGACCCTTAGGTTTGTGCACCAAGTTAAAGATTAGCGCGCAGGCTTCCTTTTCATCGTCAAGTGGATACTTTTTGAAATTTAATTAATTAACAACAATAATGCCGAAAAAGTAAAATATTATATCACCAC